AGGTTCCTTTGCCGCACTTTGCTTATTTAGAATAAATTCAGCCTTCAAATGATCAAAAATAAATTGTAATGAACAGGGCGCTCTAAGTCAGAAAGGAGTCCCATAGCCGGACTACAAACTGGAATATTTTCTGAAGCTGCAGTATAAATAAAATTTTTAATATCTATAAAATTGTTATTTTATTAATTTTACATCAAGTGTATAAATTCAACAATTTTATTGTCAAAGTCAAGAGTATGAACCTTGTAATTAAAGCAATCTTTTGTCATTTTCACATTATTTCAGCACATATTTATGCGTAATTATACCACATTTTCTTGCAGCTTATGGTAGCAGTGTCAGTACGTACAGTTTCAGCCCAACTGCAGTTGGGTGTTGGAATTTCTTCTGATGCTACAACTCGATACAGGGCACAGAACATTAAGGCAATGGAAAAGCAAAATGTACCTTCTGCTCGCACCAATCAGCTAAGATTCCCAGATCCACTCAGCTGTTCTTCATACTACTTAATGGAATCACTGGGCAGTGGCACCATCATTCGTATGACTTGTCCTAATGCATTAATCTTCGAACAAAATAGTCGTAAATGTGTCTCAGATAAAAATGCCTGTGATCTACCCATAATTAATCCCATAGTTCTACCATCATCGGGCGAGTGTAATGGTTTTGGTTTCGCATGTCTAAATTTTAACTCTTTTAAATACTGTGCTACAAATAATGTACCAATTCTAGATTACAAAACCTGCCCGAGTGGTTATATCTGTCTTATGCACAAAACGACTCCATGCCACCCATACAAACATACATACCCGGCCATATAAAATATTCAGAGAAGCTCTGAAATTAATTATCAAGTGGTTGTTTCGATGAACAAACATGGGGCTACACGGTGTAACATCCCTGAAGACAGTGATTTTCAACATATGTTACGTTTCTTTAGAGAGGCGTGAAGGAAGTTCATGCAAAGCTGTGGCAAGACGAAGGGAATATCTGCTCAGTCTCATGAATATACATAATGACAGGTCTCGTGTGTGTGTGTATGAGGCGTCAGCATCGACGGCTCCATGCATCTAGATAAACATCAAGGTCGATCATGTCATGAAAATCCAGTAAACATATTAATAAAATTAAAATTTGTGTTAAAGTATATAGTGGACCGACCAATGACCGGTACGAATATATTAGACAGATTTCTTTTGTGGATACATGTTTAGATGTAACAATATAATTTAATATACTGTCACGTGTTGGGTGTTTGTAACGCGAGTTACTAGTATCCAGTATGAGTATGAGTTACGAGTATTAAGAGTGTCTGTCGAAGACAGTGGAAGTTGCATGAAAGCTTTGGTTAAAGCAGTAATTGTGATACTGCAGTTGGCAGTAATTGTGAAATTGTGAACCGTGTAAGTGTTAGAGCGAGTGTTCAATAAATTCGCTAAGATCCAAAACGGCGTGAAGTTATTTATCGCTTTACAAACACCCAACACGTGACAACATTTTAATCACGTAGTGTGAAGATAAGGATAAATCTGGTTTTGTTATGATTGTTGCTTTATTCACAAATAATTGTAAGATGTTTATCGCTTAGGACATGAACAAGAAAGATGTGTAAGGGCCAAGGCTATGCCTTATACCATAAAATCATTGCAAATCTGTATTTAAACAAAGGTTCTGTTCAGTTTCAGAAATGGCTGAATGAAGCTCTGGAGCTTCCTCTAGTGCTATATAATGGACAATGTCGAGGTAATGCGTGTACTTTTAAATATCACGTCAGAAGATTACAAACAGAAGGAACTGCATTCAGAGTTTATCGGGAATCTGCCAGTAGCGAAGGAAGAAATAGTGTGCAAACAATGGGAGGGGCAAATCAGCTCATACTCGCAGTAAGTTGTGCAGAAATCACGCTCACGTTTGTAAGATTTGAGGTTTTCACGGCGGTGACTATGAAGAATGCCGTCATCTGGGATGTGGCGTCGTGTAGGTCTTCTGTGAACCACTGCAGAATGCAGCCACGTGTTCACGCTGGATACCCTGAAGATTGAGGCGATACGTTCCTTGGAAACGTTTTGCGTGCAATAAGGACATTGATCTTTCAGCATGAAAGAACAATATGGATGGATGGTGTATGACAGAATGGGGAGAAGAATGCGTGGAGCTAAGGCGGAGGCCGTAACAGGAAGCTGGAGAAACCGCGTAATCAAGATTTTCATAATTCGTGTCCGTAAACAAGCATCTTTAAGAAGATCAAACCAAAGAACCTGAGAAGAAAGAGACATTATGTGGGAGATGAAAAACGCGTATACACATTGGAAGTTCGGAGCTTGAATGAAGTCAAATCGAATACTTCGCTGTAAGTGGAAATATAATTTTGAACTGACCTGAAAGATTCAAAACGCTTCTATCTTTTGAGATACAAAGCCGAGTATTCCTGTGTAAGTTATCTGATGCTCCGAAGAAACACGTCAACTCCATCTTCAGATCTGAAAACTTACGTCAAGCTAGAAGCCAGGATGGAGAAAGTGACATATTCCCAAAGAATGTCGGTTACATTTCACCAGACTTACTTACTTACTTCTGGAGCTGAGCTCTTCTCGAGGAGAAGCCAAATCTGCAGCTACTCAAGAATTTCCCAGGATTTTATGGAAGCCGAAGGTTCATTGCTGTTTTCACAAAGGCCATCCACTGGTCTCTATCCTGAGCCAGATCAATCCAGTCCATACTATCCCATCTTATTTCTGTAAGATCCATTTTAATATTGTTCACACACCTACGCTTTGGTCTTCCGAGTGGTCTCTTTCCTTCTTACTATCCCACCAATATCCTACATGCATTCCTCTTCTCCCCCCTTTTCACCAGACTACACAGCGTTATATATACCATAACAGAGACCATTTCATGACCACTGATGTGAGAACTTCAAATCCTACTTTAAGAAACACTGTGTGGAGATATGACGACAATCCTATTGGATGAGGAACGCTCAATGTATACGAGTGACCGAAAGTGAGCTTCAAACTAATGCAGAAATATAGAAATATATTAAAGAAATCTCGGTATTAAAACCACTGCAGAATAGTGTTAATACTTATCCCTAGACTAACGATATAGCAAATGAAGGCAGAGAGATAGTATTCATTTTTGCAAGACCTTAGTATAATCTTATATAATTGTGCAATCTCCTCTGCGAACCCACTTTTAGACTCAGAGAATATACGTTCCAAAGTGCACAATATTTTCACTTATTTCCTAAATAAAGGGAAAATCCTGTACATGGAATTAACAACTATAACCCAACATAACGTCTTACAAATCACATTCGAAAACCACGTCGGCCTTGCTCATTAGCTGACGAACACTTGATAGAAACCGAGGTAAAGTATTGCCTCTACTCCTGCCTTTGGATGACTGTCATTATACAGGGCGTTCAACCTTCGAGGAAACCTGGGAGCAGTGCCCAGCGGACACAACATTTGTCACAGATTGCAGCTGTAACTGCCGAGAACAGAATGAGTCATTGGTTCAGATAACTGCGTGACGTCAGGTGATCTGATACATTTTCTGTAAGTTTTTTCTTGCAGAAGTTTCGACAATAAACACACGCTGTTTAATAGTGAATTCATTTCAGTATAAACGTCGACCGCCTAACGACACCTCTAACAAAGAGTGGCTGTTAATGCGACTTACTTCAGTGACAAGCTCAGTCCATCTGACGGCGCGAGTTTATCAGCGCTAATAACTCATTCTGACATCGGTAGTCACAGCAGCATTCTGTGAGGAAAGTTGTGCCCGCTCAACCTTGTTGTCAGATTTCCTCGATGGTTGAACGCATTGTAATTTCAAGTTTCTTGCTACTAGTGATTAGCTTTCTAACCCAGTAATCAACAGATAACGGAACAATCAAAGCGTTGATATTAGAAGCAAAATGAATGACAATAATGCTTGCAAACTGAAATGTAGTGCCGTAATTTGGAAGCGATTTGATTGCAACATTCATGACAACTCCAGGTCATTGCTGTGAATCACGCCACAGTCTTTTCAACTAGCCATCAGTGTACTCCGAGCTCTAGCAACTACGGNGTGTTAATACTTATCCCTAGACTAACGATATAGCAAATGAAGGCAGAGAGATAGTATTCATTTTTGCAAGACCTTAGTATAATCTTATATAATTGTGCAATCTCCTCTGCGAACCCACTTTTAGACTCAGAGAATATACGTTCCAAAGTGCACAATATTTTCACTTATTTCCTAAATAAAGGGAAAATCCTGTACATGGAATTAACAACTATAACCCAACATAACGTCTTACAAATCACATTCGAAAACCACGTCGGCCTTGCTCATTAGCTGACGAACACTTGATAGAACCCGAGGTAAAGTATTGCCTCTACTCCTGCCTTTGGATGACTGTCATTATACAGGGCGTTCAACCTTCGAGGAAACCTGGGAGCAGTGCCCAGCGGACACAACATTTGTCACAGATTGCAGCTGTAACTGCCGAGAACAGAATGAGTCATTGGTTCAGATAACTGCGTGACGTCAGGTGATCTGATACATTTTCTGTAAGTTTTTTCTTGCAGAAGTTTCGACAATAAACACACGCTGTTTAATAGTGAATTCATTTCAGTATAAACGTCGACCGCCTAACGACACCTCTAACAAAGAGTGGCTGTTAATGCGACTTACTTCAGTGACAAGCTCAGTCCATCTGACGGCGCGAGTTTATCAGCGCTAATGACTCATTCTGACATCGGTAGTTACAGCAGCATTCTGTGAGGAAAGTTGTGCCCGCTCAACCTTGTTGTCAGATTTCCTCGATGGCTGAACGCATTGTAATTTCAAGTTTCTTGCTACTAGTGATTAGCTTTCTAACCCAGTAATCAACAGATAACGGAACAATCAAAGCGTTGATATTAGAAGCAAAATGAATGACAATAATGCTTGCAGACTGAAATGTAGTGCCGTAATTTGGAAGCGATTTGATTGCAACATTCATGACAACTCCAGGTCATTGCTGTGAATCACGCCACAGTCTTTTCAACTAGCCATCAGTGTACTCCGAGCTCTAGCAACTACGGCCACAAAAGGCTGGATGACTTCTGATGTTCTCATACCTTGTCAATGAAGCGTAGGGCCAATGCAAGAAGCTACTCTGTGTGGGCGGGGGTAGGATAAGTGGGGTGCATGTCCCAACCCCAACACTGATGAAGGGGTGTAAACATTGAAGGCTAAATGCGTCTGGATACATATCAAGGTAAAATTTTAGCAGAAAGAGAAAGCAGAAAATGTAATAAAACGAAACTTGCATCGAAATGTAACGTAGCCCAGTAATTTCGGGTAATGAAATTGGTGAGACAGATCCTCTCTGTTGACATGATTTTATTTACAGTGTGGAGATAATAACCGGATAGATCTCGTTCTGTTACCACTGTCACTTTATTTATTCACAGATTTCTATATTATGTTGCTAATTCGTGATATGACATTGAAAGCAAAAATAAAAATGTGCAAACCCCGAGACTGAGCATTGTGTTCCTGTATAATTGTAAAGCCTTATTCACACAAAGTTCCAGCTCAGTTTCTGACGTATCATTTGCAGAAATGATAAACAGAAAATCTGTCCTTTCCGCAACTACTGTAAGTACGTATATGGAAATACAGCCAGGTTACGCGGTTACATTGAGAGAACGCAGAAGTTTGCAACAGAAGGAACTGCACTGACAGCACGTCAGAAATCTGCCAGTATTGTAGCACGAAACGTGTGTACACAATGGGACGTGAGAGTCAGTTCATACTAGCGGTGAGTTGTACAAGCAGCTTGCTATATTTAGGTTCTTCTTCGAGATCTCAGGTTATGAAGAAGCGAACATTACTGTGTTCTTGGGGCTGTGACAACGAATTTTCTCCGAAAGTTATCAAACGGAGTTGCCGTAGTTTCGGAGGAACTTCCTCTCTCCGTGTACATGTGGATGGAGGGAGCAGGGGACTACATTTAATTTTGCATTCATCAAAAAATACACATGAGAAATTAGATTTTCATATGTCTGAAATTTCATATTGCGGTCTCTGAGCTATGATAAGTTTCATCTGGTAAGCGCTTACCAAAGTTAAGGAGGAAAGAACGCTGCGTCAATTTCCAGTGCCGAACTTAAATTCTGAAGAAGGAGGCAGTATCTACCACAGAGTACAGCGTTTATACCTCCGAACGCGGCAGCAGAATGTAGGCTTTACTGCCATTCTATTATAATTCTTCTTCAATTAACTTGTTGTTTACATGGGTGTGGAACATTAATATTCAGTTTATGCATAGGTTATAGATTAATGGTGTATGGTAATACTGCAATGAGAATATTACCACCAAGGACTGAAAAGGTAAAATGCTAATACAGAAATTCGCGTAAAAATGAAATTCATATTTCGATAATTTCTTCAAATAATATTCATATATATAAATATATATTGATTTTTTTTTTTCAATTTACCTAATACTTCCAGCCTCACTATGGCCCTGGGATGGACTCAGCCTCTAACAGAAATGAGTTTCAGGAATCTTCGTGGAGCAAAAGGCGGCCGGCGCGTAACACTAACAACCTTACCGCCATCTGTGAGCCGATTGCCTAGAAATTGTGGAAGCCTAAACATCTCATAATCCTATGGGCCTTCACGGCCTCTTACAGAGAGAGATTTGCCTTTTTATATGTAATAATAATAATTTCTGAAGTTGGAAAATAATTACGAAACCTCCGTTTGCAGGTCCTGATTGCAGCTTCTGTACATTTGGCCTGTGACGCTGTAGAAAGATACCCAGATCCACTCGACTCCAAGAAATATTATCTTCGGTACTCGGATAACAGTATCTATAGCCAAACCTGTCCTGGTAACCTAACCTACGAATACCCCGTACAGTTGTGTGTTCTGAAAGCTACTTCATGTTCTTCAGTGAAGCCAGTTCTTAGAGCACTGACAGCTAACCAATGTGGTTGCGAGACTGGCTTCTATTGTAATTCTATTTATAATTTTACATACTGTACGTATGATGGAATAAAAATTGTAAATAACTTTGCCTGCCCGACAGGTATATGCCGTATGAATAATACAAATCCGTGTGTTTAAAGATAACAGTATTGTAATCATAAGATCACTCAGTCAGTAGCTTCATGTAGCCATTGTGAAAAATCTGTGCGTGTATGAACAATATTGAATATAATTGAAACTGTAAGGTATATTCAGTTTGTATGACTGGAGTACTATTACCTCCTGGGTTGAAACCTATTGCATATTGAAAACAACGATATATATATATATATACATAACCTGCAACATATTGAATATCTCATCTTCTGGTAGAGGTGAGTAATCTTATGGGTCCCCGATCTTCGAAGAGAAGCAGATCCGGATTCCGAAACGTCGCCTTTGGTATAAAATTCAGATTACATATAATATTAATTACAACTGGAATTTTCGGCCTTTATCGAAATATTCGTAAAAGAACTCTAAGATATGTATTAGATCTAAATGTCTGTAAGGATAACATATTAATACAATTATTGAGTTTTTGGACATTATCCATTATTCTGTTCTTTATTTAAAACACTGCGTTTTAGATACTGGATTCTGTCAGTGTCTTCACGAAAAAGTCTACTCGACTCGGCTCAATCGCTAAAAGTACTAGACCGCACTCCCGGTCCGGAAGTGGTACACAGAATTCAGTCTCCGAAAATTTGATAAAAAAAGGATGATAATGTCTAATAATTCAATAATTTTGTAAGATGCAAGTTTCTGAACCTTTCCACTTAACGAATCTGTAAGCTATAAGCAAAGCATGAAGCATATAAGATTTTAAAATATGGTAGCGTCTTCACGTCTTACATTTTACAGATGTGTCAGTTCTGTATTACATTTATTACAATAAAGATTATATATATTATTTCATCAGTTGAGTACTGACTTCTATTTCAGTTACATGAGAATTCACCATCAGTCATTTATCAACCCTACATCACCCCCTCGTTGGTGTCTCCACCTTATCGTGGTGAGGGTGTTTGAGTATGCCAAGGACCCTGAGAGCTATACCAGCGGTAGCGTAGCTACTGGCAGGGCCTCCCTTGCTGGACAGGTCAAAGGGTAGGCATCAGACGAAGAGAGACACCGAAAACTGATGCCGGAAGCAGCGTCATCAGCGGCGACTTGAAGCACAGAGAAAATGATGCTCGAGATGGTTCAAGTTCGTATAGCAACAGGCGTGAATGGCTGTTGTACTGCGATGTGGAAAGCAAATGGAAAAACTACCACATTATCACTTTTCCTGGATAGTCTCTTTCCAAAAACAGAAGATCGCATTAAATGGAGAAACTGTTTTGGAAGAGGCTGTGGACCTGTCGTCTGACAGATTACTGATGAATGAACATGCAATTAAGAAATGTTTCTGTTACCCCAAGAAAGAGCGCTCTGTTTGAGAGTAGGGTGTTGAGGAAACTGCACGGATGTGAGACTGAGGGCGTAATAGAAGCCTGAGTAAAAAAGTGAAAAGTAAAGCTATCCCTGTACCAGGCCGTGAAGGTCCATAGGGATGTGAGACGTTGAGGGTCCCGCATTATCTAGACAATGGGCTCATAGATGGCGGTAAGGTTGTCAGCCTTACGCGCCGGCCGCGTTTTACTCCCCAGGAAAATTATTTAATTAATTCCCGGTACTCATTTCTGTTAGAGGCTGAGAGGGCCATAGTGCGGAAGACCTTATCGGGACTTGAACCCGCGTCCTTCCGGCTTGTAGCACAGCCCCTCAACCAACTACGCTACTGCGTGCTACCCCACTAGCAATAAACAAATTGTAATAATCATACCAACTGCACTGATACAGTAACTGGACGGAATGTGTAGCTTTTTAACGTTTGAGCAGTCAGTAGGTTTACATGAAGCTTCAATCTTGCTTTAAATATTTAACAGAGATATTAAAAAGTACAGCTTATACAGTATTTACAGCAGGAAGTGCATAGAGCTAAAAACTGGAACAATTTAGATAGACTCATTCGGACGGACCTACACCGATATGTTTGCAGATGAAGATGCATTGTTCCAAAAAGACCCTGAATAAGTTGTAGAATTTTGTTCATCCTTAGGCATATATGGGACATAAATATTCCCTTTATAATGGGGAAAACATACGACTACTATAGAAATAATTCTTATTTAAACATGGGACTGGAATCTTGGTGAAGTGAGTGTTTACATGAATTATATAACTTCCTGAGGCCAGGTATACATATATACTAAATAGAGTCATATACTGTAAAAATTAATCTTACAGTGACGGAGTTAATAAACATTCTCAACCCACTCGTCCATCATTCAATGTAACACATTTGGAACAGAATGTCCTTGTTTCAGTACTGGAGTTTGGAACCGCACCCCTCTTCTAATTGTCTTTGTCATAGCAGTTCTTTTTTGCATCGGTCCTACGATTGAGTGACAAAATACTTGACATCTGTGCTTGCGACGAGCTGATCACCCGCCCAAGGAGTCCTACCGTATGTCTAAGATCTAGTAAAACCGAAGTGAACGGAGAGTTTCATGGAGGTAGCCCTGGGCCCAAATGAGGGCTGTAGCGCCAAAGAAATAAAAATTAAGGAAAACAGGCTAAGTATTATATAAAATATTTTATTTTATTAAATGAAATACAACACAACAAATATAATGTCTTCAGAATGCTGCTATCTCTCTCTTTCTCGGGTAATTTAACCAGTAGTTAACTATTCATACACGTATTTCAGTTTCATTACAAGTTTGGCTTTAAGAGTCCCTATTATGAAGTTTGTTTTTACAATGTATTTTTACTAGCACTGGGCATTTATAAATCTGTCTTCACTTCCGTCTTCTGGCAAGAAGGAAGCCCATAACTTCACAACCTTTTGTCAGAAAACGGATTCAGAACAGCTCTAAATCCTTGTTTAGTACGAAACCCAGGAAATGGATAATGTCAAACACACAGAATGAGTACACCTTACAGATATAATTATGTATATTCATCTAACAGTACAGTTAATGATGTATAAAGTGTTATGCCATGCATATATTTCAGGGTACCGATAGAGGGACCTTATATTGACGTGTATATAAGGTTGTTACGCAGGGCACGGATTGTTACCTGCTCCGCACGCCGGAATCATATTCGTACTGCCTGCCGGGCAAGCTTTGTTATTTACAATTCTTTTATGGTCATACGTGCAATATGTAAATGTATTATCTGTATTACAATAGTATCCAGCAGAGCTAGCACACGCATCCCCACGTCTGTATGTAATATCTGGCCTGTCGTCTTGACAGCTACCTTCCTGAACACATAGCTTTGCGCTGTCTTCGAAGACTAGACCATTGGGACAGGTTAGGTGGGAGAAGGTAGCATCCCTGTTGCGCACGTAATATTTCAAGCAGCTCAGTGGATCCGGGTACCTTTCTAGTGCGATAGAAGAAGAAAGTGCAGACGCTGCGATCACAGTCTGTAAAGAAAATATTTTTTCATCATTTATTGATATGTGCGAAATTAGGGCCTGGAAAGGTCAGTCAATATAGCGACTAGATTACGGGTATGGACAACCGAGGTTCGATTCTAGACAAGGATAAAGATATTTCACGTTAGAACCCAAACCGTATCCGAGGCCCACCCAATCTCCTATTTAATGAGCATCAGCTGCCTTGTCTCCTAGTGTAAAGCGGTACATGCCTGAAGCTGACAGTTCACCTCCATCTTGTGCCGAAGTTAAGAAGGATGGAGCTATAACTCCAATCCCCTGTATTCCTAAAGGATATAGTGCTTCTAATATTATAATATTATATTTCAGCAACCTGTGGCACTGATGCATCACTCGTTCACTTATTTCAATCTCCAGTGTTACGTAAACTTTTATTTTAAAATGTCATTACAATTACAATTACAATTAAACTTCTTAAAATGTCATTAGAATCGTATTTTATTTTACTATTGCGATATGTTTCGGCCTTATAAAGCCATCCTCAGGCAACAGCTAATAATTAAACCATCCGCACTGTATCAGCTCCTATGTTACATGCTAATACTGCACGTTGTAATTGCATGAGAATGTATGCCCATATTTTACTCACGATACTTCCATGTCGCGGCGTCCACGTTATGCATCCTTTGCGCGTAGCTTTTCCTATTCGGGCGTGTATTTCTTCTACTTAATCGATAAAAGTTTAAAGGAAATTGTAATGACATTTTAAAATAAAATTTTATGTTGCATTAGAGACTGAAACAAGTGGACTAATGCTTCATTATATATTTAAGTGCATGGATAATCTTCCTGTGCGAAATCAATTTTATTTAATTTAAATCTCGAAAACTTTCCCTCATATAATTTGAGCACATATGTTATACACGGTATTCTATGAGGAGTATGTTTACCGGTCAATAGCGTTACTAGCTTTACTCGGTACAAACGAGATCCTGTATAGGGACGTCTCTCTTCAGTGTTTGTCAGTTGACGCACTCTTTTCAGTTTGAGATGCAAAGTTTGAAGGTAATTTAACGATGTGTGACAGTCCAAACCTTTTACAATTCTCCATGGGACGCTATGGTCCTCTTTAGCCATTTCAGTAGGGTGACTGGTTTATTGGGGAGACCGATTCATTAGCATGTTATGACTTACTTTTCGCATCTGGACAGAAACAACTGCCTCATTTTGTTACCTGCAGTTTGGGTGACGACAATGTGCAATGTCTTTTATTTTTGGCCTTACGTAAAGATGGTTTTAATCAGTCATTATACCTAAACATCGGAAGAAACACACTGAATTTCCACAAAAATATCTCATGTCGAATTTTACCAGAATTATTTGTACTCACGCGGTTCACGCGTGTTTATCTCCTTTGTAACCGTGCCACTGCCGTGCTGCCTATTTAAATATGATTAATGTTATTAATTTGAAATTTAATTGTTTGAATGTAAGGGCAGGAACAAGTGTAGTGAGACTTAGGTCCATCCTTGTATTTAAGAGTTAGCGCCTTCCCACGCTTACAGCAGAAACAGGGAGATACCCGTTGAGGATTCTATTAAGGGGAAAGTTACGTAAAGAATAGCTAAAGAAATCTTTTGTGAATTCTTTACTTGACATTTTCTACATGCCATATTTTAGGAGAGTGATAGTTTTACGATCCCAAGCCACGCTGTACATTCGTCACTTTTTTGACAGGAGTTCTTTAAGTAGTTCTATGTAATCGTCTTCTTTTTGGACTGCAATGTACCTTCCCAGCGTCATCGCACTGATACGCAATATGCAGAACCTGTAGATGTACTCCTATGGCTGTAAATTCTTACAACAAACATAAGCAAGTTCGGAAGGCGCCCTATGGATTACATTACATAGAAATGTATTTGTGCTTTCAGACGTGTCAGTAAGGTTTGGAAACGTCGTTATATCAGTAACTAACCTGCTTCTGTTGCTTTTCTAGTTCCACTGATTGCACGGAGATTCACAGTTCTGAAGGAACCAGAAGTCACTCAGCTGGTCGAGAGTTTCTCGCCTTATGTGCAAGTGGAACTGTCATTACCTCCTTCACAAATGTCCATCACTGATTCATTCCTAAGCCATATAAATCCAGTCCGCATTTGAATAACCCATTTCTTAAGGCTACATTTCAATATGGCCCTCCAATTTACGTAAGTTCTGCAAGTGTTTCGTTCCCTTCTGGTTTCCTATTGAAGTGTTGTGTTCATTTCTCGCCCGTCCCATGTGCTATGTTCTCCCCCTATCATCTTGTACTTTTAGTTTTCTGGTAATGCTGGAAGCAGATTTTGAATTTTGTATTCCTTCACTGTGCAATATTCTCTGGCCTCCTGTTACTTACTCTCTCTTAGATCAAAATTTTCCTTATCACCTTGTAACAGACGGCCGTCCTCTCTCTTTCCTTAACTTTAGG